GGTCATTTGTCCAATCTTCCACTTCTTGTAAGGAGGGGTCTGACTAATAGATTCCAAGACCAGATGGGACCATTGTGATCATTTAGTCCAGTCATGGACAACTGCGGGCCGCATGTGGCCCATCAAGGTAATCTGATTGCGGGCCACAAGACACTGGGAGCTGCGGGGGGCCATGCCTGCAGACGGTCCTCTTCTTGTGTGGCTTGGCTCGAGCTGAGGCATGTGCAGTTCCATCGCCGGCACCCAGGAGTTCGAGGTATATGCATCTCCGTCTCCAAGTGCTAGGAATGGGGCTGCACCCCATCTCCCTCACTGCATCCCTCCACTGTCCCATTGTGTCCTGCTCCCCACACCTATCCATCATAGCCCTGTACCCCTTACAGCGCTTTCCCACCTATCCTCTCCACCTCCCAGAGCTGCCACCCCCGTTTCCCTCACCCCCCACAGCCCTGCACCCCCTTCACCTCCATATACTGCTGCACTCCCATTATGTCCCTATACACCTCTGTGCCCCCCCCATCCTCATGCACCAGTAGCCTTCTGTCTCCACCTGTATCCCCATCCACCCCAAATACCCCCACACCCCCTCCTCTCTCTTTCACTGCCCCCTCTCACCCCCTCCACCCTGCTCTCATCCTTGGCCTCTTTCCCTTCCCATCCTCTCTCCTCCCCCCTTCCCAGCTGGGTGATTTAGGCAGCCCCTGGAAAAGTATATGAAAAAGTGTCTCTGAGTAGTCAAGTGTGCATGCATGCATTGTGTGTAAGAGACGGTGTGCTTTTATGTAGGGAGGTGCTTGTATTTCTGCATGTGTGTATACCTGTGTGAATAAAATTTGCAGCCTACTTTGACTTTTATTCCTTTTGCTGGCTTTGCACAAAAAAATGATGACCTAAAATGTATATATTCATTTCATAACAAGTTTTTAAAAGAGAAGGGAACGCTAAAAAAAGTATTATTTCTTAAAAAGTTAATGTTGTTGACCAGTAATTGCAGAAAAGCCAATGTGTCATACATTTCTCCCCACCTTTGTCTAACTACATTATAAACTTTGTTACATAAACTTTTTATGTATATGTCCAGCACCTACCACCCTGGAGCCCTGATCTTAGTTGAGGTCTCTAGGCACTAAACAACAATTGTAATAATAAATAATGTGGAAGTGTATGTGTTAGTGCATGCTACATATGTACACATGTATCTGCATGTAGGTGTGGGAGTCAGTTTCTACAGATTTATAAATAAATCAGTTGTGCATTTCTGTGGTTGTGCTCTATGGATTTGTATTTGGGCTTCAGGAGTTGGCCGTTAATGGACCCATTGCAACTATGATAATATGTGGTCCTAATTCCACACATAACTTTAGTGAACAAAAAACATGGAGCTGGTTATGAAAAATGGGAAGAGGGGAGGGAAAGAATCATGAAACCTATGTGAAATTTCATTTTTTAAAAATTACCCTTTTTGACTATTTTGCTGCCAGTCTAGCATCCTGTAACTAATAAAACCTGAACTTAGCATAATATATTTGTCAAAACAATAAATACACCAGTTTGGGCCTTGCAGTGAAAATGAGCATTTGAGAGAGGCTGGGGGAAAGCAAGTGACCGGGGTGGTGGTGGGGAAATGGAGTGATTGGGGGGCGGAGGGGGGCGCTCAGGGAAGGGGCAGGGCAGTGGGCAGGGTGTTCAGTTTTCTGGAATTAAAAAGTTGGCAACCCTATAATCAAGTCACCCCTTAACCTTCCCTTTGTTAATCTAAACAGATTGAGCTTCTTGAGTCTATCCTTGTAAGGCATGTTTTCTAATCCTTTAGTGTCTGAACCCTCTTCATTTTATCAGCATCCTTCTTGCATTATGGACAGCGTATCTTTCTTTAATTCTTGATTATTAATTCTTGATTAATCGAGTCCCATATCAGCCGCTTCATTATCTTATCTGGGTTAGATGTCAGACTGGCAGGCCTATAATTACTCAGGTTCATCCCATTTACCCTTTTTATATATTGGCACAACATTAGCTTTCTTCCAGTCTTCTAGAACTTCCCCAGGGTTCTAAGACGTATTGAAAA